TATATTCAGAGTTATAACTATATATTCAGATTTGTAACTATATATTCAGATTTGTAACTATATATTCAGAGTTATAACTATATATTCAGATTTGTAACTATATATTCAGTGTTTTAACTATATATTCAGATTTGTAACTATATATTCAGATTTGTAACTATATATTCAGAGTTATAAACTATATATTCAGATTTGTAACTATATATTCAGATTTGTAACTATATATTCAGAGAGTTATAACTATATATTCAGATTTGTAACTATATTTTCAGAGTTATATTTATATATTCAGATTTACATTTATATATTCAGAGTTATAACTAAATGTTCAGATTTACATTTTTATGTTCAAATTGGTAAATATATTTTCAGAGTTATAACTATATATTCTGAGTAATAATATATATATTTTTAGATTTGTTACTATATATTCAGATTTGTGACTATAAATTCAGACTTACAACTACATATTCGGATTTACATTTATATATTCAGATTTGTAACTATATATATTCAGAGATATATTTATATATTCAGATTTGCAACTATATATTTAGATTTACATTTATATATCAGAGTTATAACTAAATGTTCAAATGTTCAAATTTGTAACTATATATTCAGATTTGTACCTATATATTCAGTGTTATAACTATATATTCAGATTTGTAACTATATATTCAGATTTGTAATTATATATTCAGAGTTATAACTATATATTCAGATTTGTAACTATATATTCAGATTTGCAACTATATATTCAGAGTTATATTTATATATTCAGATTTACATTTATATATTCAGAGTTATAACTAAATGTTCAGATTTACATTTTTATGTTCAAATTGGTAAATATATTTTCAGAGTTATAACTATATATTCTGATATATTTATATATTCAGATTTGTTACTATATATTCAGATTTGTGACTATAAATTCAGACTTACAACTACATATTCGGATTTACATTTATATATTCAGATTTGTAACTATATATTCAGAGTTATATTTATATATTCAGATTTGTAACTATATATTCAGATTTACATTTATATATTCAGAGTTATAACTAAATGTTCGAATGTTCAAATTTGTAACTATATATTCAGATTTGTAACTATATACTCAGATTGACATATTAGTAATTCATTTTTGCCCCCCCCCCCATATTATGCAAACACACATATACAGTATATATATATATATATATAATTGTTATATAGGTTGTTCCAGTTTCCCGCTCACCGTCCTCGTCGGTCTGCACGTGTATCTCGGGACTCTCCTTGACCCCCTCTCGGTTGCGCAGGACCATCCTAACGCTGAGGTTGGTGAAGGGCGTGAGGTTGTGTATGGTGTGTTGAGGCGTGGAGCTGGACGACACCTCCCTGCTCTCCTCCTTCGCCCCGGCTCCGGCTCGGGTGCGGGCCCGGTACTGCACCGTCAGACTGTAGTTGTGGCAGCGCGTCACGTTGTAGCCGAACGGCTCCCAGCGAACCGTCACCTGCCGAGACTTGATGTCCACCACCTTCAGCTGACGGGGCCCGTGCATCGGCTCTGAGCGACCACACACACACACACACCGTTAGTGTCTTACTGTGGGTCAACACACACACAGGTCTAAGATGATGACGATTGTCATGATTTGTAAATCAGTGTTTCTTGAGCCGCTGTTTCTCTGACCTTTCCAAATGTGTTTTTTCTGCGATGCGTGTCGTTGTTGTGAATATGATGATGAAACACATTCAGAGAGTTTACATCTCTTTCCACATCAAACTTCTGTCACGTTCCCACTGTCTTTGCTGTTTGTCCTCTGTAGTGTGTGTGTGTGTGTGTGTGTGTGTTTTTATCTGCATCTTCAAGTCTGACTTCCTTGCATTTGCATTTAATCATCTAGCGAGCTTTCTGCTGTCAGGTGTGAAGAGTCAAGGACGAGGATCCGAACACACACTGCAAACACACACTGCAAACACACACTGCAAACACACACACATGCTCGCGCTTCTCAAAACTGTTAAAGTTCCCGTCGCTGAAATAATCCTCCTGACGCTTAATAATAATAACTGACTTATCGCTTTTATAAAACAGCAGATGATTAAAGACACTGTTCGATGAACTGTTGCATTTATTAATATAATAATCAGAACAATCCGTTTTGTATAATACACTACTGTTCAAAACTTTGGAATAATTACGATATTTCTATGTTTCTTTATTTAGTCTCTTCTGCTCACCAAAGCTGTGTTTATATGATCAAAAATACAGTAAAAATAGTGAAATATTATTGTAATGTAAATCATCTGTTTTCTATGTGAATATACAGTAAAGTGTAATTTATTCCTGTGATTTTCAGCATCAGTACTCCAGTCTTCAGTGTCACATGATCCTTCACAAATCACTCTAATATGAGGATCTGATGATCGAGAAACACTTATGATTATTATCAGTGTTTTTAATTCTTTGATGAGTCGAAAGTTTAAAAGAACAGCATTGATTTAAAATATAATCTTTTGCTACATTATAAATGTCTTTACTGTCACTTTTGATCATTTTTGTTTCTTTCTTACACAAAATGTTTGAATGGCAATGCATCATAAAAATGTTACTGTGAGTGTGTGTGTGTGTGTGTGTGTGAGAGAGAAAGAGTATGTGATTCTCTCTCTCGCTCTCTCTCTCTCTCTGTGTGTGTGTGTGTGTGTGTGTGTCCAGAGTGAAAATTGAACCCTGACTGGATCAAATAGGAGGGATAATGTAAAGTTCCAGAGAAATAGAGTTCAGATTCAGAAGTGTGAATGGAAATTGATCCTATTATGGCCTTAAACCTCATCCAGAGAGAGAGTGTGTGTGTGTGTGTGTGTGTGTGTGTGTGTGAGAGAGAGTGTGTGTTTGTGTTTTTGCGTGTGTGAGAGAGAGAGACGGAGAAAGATTGTATATTTTAATGTAGTAGAGCCTTTCAGAAACTATGTAAGATATTTTCCTAATAATAAGAGTTATCCTTGATCGTCACGTTATTATAATCTCTATAAACATGTTCATCCTCACACTGACAGCCTTCAGAACCGAACGCAGGAGATGAGCACACACACACACACACACACACACACAGAGATGATAGTGGCATTCACTATAACTCGCTCCTGCAGTCAGAGGTGTGTGTGTGTGTGTGTGTGTGTGTGTGTGTGTGTGTGTGTTACGCATGTTTATAATGCGGGAGGTGAACGACACGACACTATAGCACAATAGAAGATGCAGGGTGATTTAGATGACACACACTAACACACACTGACACACACTAACACACACTGACACACACTAACACACACTGACACACACAGACACACACTAACACACACTAACACACACAGACACACACAAACACACACTAACACACCGGAGTGATGTTATCTCGAAGAGTCAGACCAAAACAAAGTTGGTTTTATGAGTTTGAAATAACTCTCCGTGAAAAGTTCACTAGTGCTGGGGAACATCTCTGAGCTCCCATTGGTCCGTGTGTTGATGATGTAACAGGTGGGTGTGGTCCAATCTAATGTCACTGAGGAGTGTGTGTGGCGTCAGAGTGTAACGCTGCTCACGTATTACCACTGGTGGAATGTAACGAAGTACAATTACTTCTTTACTTTACTTAAGTAAATTTTTCACGTATCTGTACTTTACTTAAAGGGTTAGCTCACCAAAAATGAAAATTCTGTCAGTATTTACTCACCCTCATGTTGTTCCAACCCCGTAAGACCTTCGTTCATCTTCGGAACACAAATTAAGATATTTAGGATATTAAAATCGCTCCTGCATACAGTCCATAGGCTTCTTGAGGGACTGGCTCTTGCTGTCCTCGAAAAGTCATTAAAGACATCGTTAAAATAGTCCAAGTGACTACAGGGGCTCAATCTTAAGTTTATCAAACGACGAGAACACTTTTGTGCGCAAAAAAACAACAAAAATAACGACTTTATTACAACTATTCACTTCCTTCTCCATAAGCCTATAGTCCGTTAACGTAGTGTGATTGCGTAGAGCTACGTCACACGTAGGCTCACTATTGGTCGACGCTGGTCATGTGTGTGTGATGCGTGTGACGTACAATAACAGAAGCTTACGCTATTAAACTAGTTAACTGACTCGCGCAGAGGGAGAAATAAACGAATAGTTGAAATAAAGTCGTTATTTTTGTTGTTTTTTTGCGCACAAAAGTGTTCTCGTCGTTTGATAAACTTAAGATTGAGCCCCTGTAGTCACTTGGACTATTTTAACGATGTCTTTTATGACTTTTCGGGGACGGCAAGAGCCAGTCCCTCAAGAAGCCTATGGACTGTATGCAGGAGCGATTTTAATATCTTAAATATCTTAATTCGTTTTCCGAAGATGAACGAAGGTCTTACGGGGTTGGAACAACATGAGGGTGAGTAAATACTGACAGAATTTTCATTTTTGGGTGAACTAACCCTTTAAGTACATTTTTCACGTATTTGTACTTTACTTAAGTACATTTTTCACGTATCTTTACTTTACTTAAGTACATTTTTCACATATCTGTACTTTACTTAAGTACATTTTTCACGTATCTTTACTTTACTTAAGTACATTTTTCACATATCTGTACTTTACTTAAGTACATTTTTCACGTATCTTTACTTTACTTAAGTACATTTTTCACGTATCTTTACTTTACTTAAGTACATTTTTCACGTATCTTTACTTTACTTAAGTACATTTTTCACATATCTGTACTTTACTTAAGTACATTTTTCACGTATCTTTACTTTACTTAAGTACATTTTTCACATATCTGTACTTTACTTAAGTACATTTTTCACGTATCTTTACTTTACTTAAGTACATTTTTCACGTATCTTTACTTTACTTAAGTACATTTTTCACGTATCTGTACTTTACTTAAGTACATTTGTCACATATCTGTACTTTACTTAAGTACATTTTTCACATATCTGTACTTTACTTAAGTACATTTTTCACGTATCTTTACTTTACTTAAGTAAATTTTTCACATATCTTTACTTTACTTAAGTACATTTTTCACGTATCTTTACTTTACTTAAGTACATTTTTCACGTATCTTTACTTTACTTAAGTAGAATAAATAGTGCATACTTTTTACTTTTTACTTCGTTACATTTTGCAGCAATTATTATACTTTCTACTCCACTACATTTCTACAACTTCTGTTACTTTTTCATTACATTTTCTGATCAGTTTTTCCCCTGCTAAAACGTAATCTGACCGTCCGTTCGTTGCACTTTTGTCTCACCAGTGACGTTTGGTTGCCATAGATACATCAACTAAATGCGTCTCGCACGCAGTGTGTTTATCGTGCAACTCATACGCGAAATTTTGTTTTTACGTGCATAGGAAACACACCGTGTGTAATATACGTTTGGTTAGGATTATGGCAAGCCAAGAGGTTCAGAATTACACCATAAATTAATCGCGTTTACTGCCAAACATCGTTATTAATATATCGTAAGGATAAGCATGATGTGTATATTGCCTAATTGCAAGCTTGTTTGAGAAATGGTGACAACTATTTTTTTTCATAATTATTGAACATCATTATAGGAGTATTAGGTGGAACGAGTTAGAATTAAATGTTTTATTAATCATTAGAAAAAAATAGTCATTAAGAGAATCAATTGTTATGCAAGTACTTTTACTTTTAATACTTAAAGTACATTTAAAATCAGGTACTTTTTACTTGCGTATGGTTGTCATTGTGTTACTTGTACTTTTACTAAAGTAAATATTTATCTGGTTATTTGTACTTTTACTTAAATACTGATATTCAGTACTTCCTCCACCACTGCGTATTTCAGACTTGTTTTCACCCGACAGAAGAGTGTGTGTGTGTGTGTGTGTGTGTGTGTGTGTGTGACGCTGTGATCATGTGACTCTGAGACTCTTTCATCTGCTCTTCTCCTCTCACCGATGCTTTGATCCTGGAGTGGCGGACACGAGCTTCCAGACCCGGAGAAACGGGATCAGGGTTTCTGTGTGTGTGTGTGTGTGTGTGTGTGTGTGAAGGAGCGACGGGTAAAAGACTGTAACCCTCGAGGTCGATATCAGAGAAACACAAACACATTTATCCTTTTCACGATTCTCTAAGTTCAGCAAATGATTTTAAAAGTGTGACATTGATTTCTGTGCTTTACAAAAGGCAAACGGCAGGAGCCGAGTGTGAATCAAGCTCAGCTTTAAAAGCTATTGATTTTTTGGACAATCGGCCGTAAACACAGAGTGATTTCTGAGATTATTTAGGAAAGTGTGTGAAATGTGACCCGAGTTTCGGCGCGACTCGAGCGCTCGCGTCTCCTTCCTATTGATGGAAACACACTTAAGAACGACGACACACACACACACACACACACGAGTGACAATGACACACTCTATGCCATTATTAATGTTCTTTAAATATCAATATTATTAAAACATGTCCTGAATATCCTTCACATCACAGTCTTCAGTAACTCTAGGCAAATAATCATTAAAATAGAAAACTATTTTAATGAAACTCTTGCTTTCCAGTA